AGGGAAGTTGTTTGTGAGAGATAGTTATCAATTTTCTATCTAATGGTGCAAAAACAGTTTATGCAGGTGCATGTTGTTTTTTTACCCAGGAAAATGGGTAATGAATGGCCCTCAACAGGATTGCATTCACATGGGAACTTGCAAAATGCTAGCTTTGACAAGGCCAGCCACTGATTCCAGGAGAGCAGGCTTGATTTTATGAATCCTTTCTCTATGATTTTTGTACCTTACTGCAGCAGCCCCTCTCTGCATTCCTCTCTTCATTCATTCCCCAGGCACTGCTGAATCTGTGTTTCTAATCCCCTCTCCCTTCTTGTTTGTTCTTACTCTGGGCTTGCTGAGCTGTGGTGGCTGTTGCCTCTGACTCCCCAGACACTTGTGACTCCCTTGCTGTCTCCTGTGTTCCCTTTGCAGGGGCTGGTGAATATCCTGATGGAGCGGCGGAGAGCTTTTGTGAGTACTTCCTCTGCTCCTGAACGTGGCTTGGGTGAGGGGAGGGGAGCTTCAGGGTAGTGGAGAAGCACCAGCCTATCCCTAGCATTTCTCCTCTCTGATTTGGTGTACACCTAGTACTGATTTTTCCCCCTGCCTTTGCTTTTGCAGGCAGCCCTGGGTCAGGATTTCAGCCCTCTGTTTCTGGTAGCACCAGAGCAGATCATGCCTTGGCTGCACGAGTACCACAACCACTGTGAGGAGATCCTTGGAGACATCAAGTGAGTGTTCTGTGTGGAGAAATGTCCTTGGTCTTTATTCAAGGCAAACTCATCTATTCCCCCAGCCCTTTGTTGGAGGTGGCTCTGACTCCTTCCACTTCCTGTAGAACAAGGATCAGAGAGCAGGATAAGGTTTGCACTCAGCTGTGCTGCTTGATAGAGGTTTATGTGCAGGCTTCCCTTTGCTGTAGGAAAAGGGAGTTGGGCAAGTAGAGGAAAGAGTATTTGATAGTGGGGTAGGAGTGATTTGTGAGTTACTTGGTGCCAGTGAAAGTGAGAGGTTATACAGGTCACCAAGGCACTGAACTGAGGCTGAGAAACAGGAGAAATCAGCTGCTTGAAGAGAAGACCAGGTTTTATTTTGTACCTGCCCTTAATTATCTCTTCTTCCCTCCCTCACAGAATGATTCCTTCTCAGTCTCTTGTGAAAGGCTGTGAGAACATGAGACCCAAAGCCAAGGAGTTTGTGAGCTCTCTGTTAGAGAGCTACGACCTGGCTGAGGTGAGTTTCTGAGCTGGGGGCTCCATGGCTGGAGGGGACCTGGAATCTAACACTTGTATCCTTGTTCAGTTTCAGACCTGTGAAGTCCAACACTGTAAAAATGCCTTTGCATGTTCAGTGATCCATAAGTCTGGCTGGAAAGTAGTTTATTCTGGTGATACAATGCCCTGCATGGCCTTGGTGCAAATGGGTAGGTAACAAAGCCCTCTGCTTGCAGAATCTCTTGGAGAAAGCTCTCCATCTGTCAGTATCCAAAGCGGGCATCCCCAAACCTTGGGTGCTGTGTCTGCCACACAGCAAGGGGCTGAGGAGGGACAGGAGGCTCCTGTGGGCAGTTGGGCAGGTCAGTCTTCAGCTGAAATTGAATATGTGATTGTTTGCACAGGTAAAAATGCCAACCTGCTGATCCACGAGGCCACGCTGGAAGATGGCATGGAAAAAGAAGCTATAGAGAAGACCCACAGGTGGGGTGTGCTCTGCTGTCTGTCCCTGTTAGGAGGGGAAAGGTGCACAGCTGGGTGTAGTCCTTGGAGCTGGTGGTGTAGGGCCCAAGTCCTGTCAAAGGTTCTGGTGTGCACGGAGCTCTTCTACACTAAAGATGGGGTGCTGGTCGTTGCAGCAGCTCTGAAACCACCACAGCTCCTCTCAACATCCCCAAAAGAAATGGAGAAAGCTTTCAAGGAGTCATTGGTGGCTCTACAAATAGACCATCCCAAGGGAAAGACCCTCTGCATGGGAACATCCTGGGACTAAGCTCAGGAGGTAGAAGAGTCATTTTACCCCCACAGCTCACTGAGAGCCCTGCAGCCAGGGATTCCCTGTGCTGCCCAGGCAAACGTGGGGAGACCAAGAGCAGCTGCTCAGCATTCCCTGCCAGGCACTTGGCACTCGTGGGACAAAGTGCCTGTCCCCTGGTTGTGGAGCTCTTAAATGCAAGGCTCCAACATTTACAGCTGCGTTCCTGCACACAGGGTTGTGTGGAAGTCAGAGAGTTGCCACCAGTGCAGGCTGCCCAAGGCACAGGGGCCTGTGCCCGTGAGGTCACTCGGTGTGGTGTGACCCTGGGTGCAGAGCAGCAGTACCTGCCAGCCTGGCTGTGACCAGGGCGTGTTCCTTTTGCAGCACGACCTCCCAGGCCATCCAGACTGGGATGAAGATGAATGCAGAGTTCATCATGCTCAATCACTTCAGCCAGAGGTACGCCAAGATCCCGCTGTTCAGCGAGGACTTCAGCGACAGGGTCGGCATCGCCTTTGACCATATGAGGGTAAGGTGGGAGCTTGGGGCCAGGCCTGGGAACTGTGTCAATGTTATTTTGGGATGGCTGCTCATGAATTAAATGCTGCTCTTGTACTGTATCAATACTCCATCTCCTGAAGAGCAGGCTCTGAAACAGCTCCTTTAACTGCTGGCAGCAGATAGCCTGTGTCAGCCTTGCCCCGCACTGCTGTGAGATGGGTGCTGATGGCCCTTGAATCCAAATCTTAACACACTGGGTACTTGCCTTGTGCCTCCTCAAGTCTGTGCTTGCTATTCCCAGCCAAAAAAACCTAATTTTGCTTCCATTCCCATCCCAACTGATGAGCTGCTCCAGTGGCTTTCTGTAGCAGTCATCTGTAGAAGACAAAAGCTGCCTGAAGGCACTCGTGGCAGTGAGGGCAGCTCACTATCAGTCAGAATTTGTACTGGGCCACAGCATTTCTGTGAAGAAAATGTCAATAACTCATTGAGGTCAGGGCTCCTGGGTGCAGGTGCTGCACACAGGAAGGGGCAGTGCCCTGCTGCCTGCACAGGCCAAAGGCAAGGGGGAGTGAGGAAATCAACCAGCAGTTGTCACACAGGAGCTGTGTGCTTGTGTTTCAGGTACGTTTCGGTGACTTCCCGGCCATCCCAAAGCTGATCCCGCCCCTGAAGGCTTTGTTTGCTGATGACATCGTGGAGATGGAGGAGAGGAAGGAGAAGAGGGAGATGAGGCTGCTGAAGGAGACTGCCCTGGTCCTGGACAAACTCACCAGGGGGGACAGCACAGAAGCAGCATGCCAGAAAAGAAAACAAGCCAAGAACCATCAGGAACTGCCAGACAAGAAGCTTAAAACAGCCAACTGAGAGGGACAAGGCTGGGAGTGCTCTGCTCTGAGAGAAGCCTGGCTCTGTGCAGGCCTGGGCACTGCGTGGTGCTGCCAGCACCACGGGACAGGGGCTGGCCTGGCCATCTGGGTCTGCTTGGCCATCATGGATCTCCCTGGGCTGCAGCTCCAGTGGGCTGTCAGCAGCTCTGGTCCTTGTGGAGACAGGATCTGCCCACATAGCTCCTGTTCTGGGGGCTCACCATGGGGCAACTTTTCTTTTAACCAAAAATTCTCTCTGAACTGGTTTTAATTTTGGGGTTTATGCTACCAGGTGTTGATAATGTAACAGCAGCAGCTGTGACCTTTGCAAGAGATCAGGTGTGAGAGGCCCTGGAGGGGCTGTGGGTTTGCCAGAAGAAGATGAGCATGTCTCAGCTGGTTATGCCCCCCTTCACTGTCAGAACCCAGGTGATAGGAGGAAAATTAACAGTAAAATGGGACCCAATTGTAGGGTTTTAGGTTAAATTAGGGGTGAGAATACATCTGTACATTGGTGTTCCCATTTTATTTTGGTTTTCTCTGCTGGTTTTTTGATTCAAAGGATCAGTTTTCCAAACCCTTTATTGAGAATCTGAATAAACCACTTGCCATCCTCCAGGGAGCTGTGTTGTGTATGGATCACTGATGAGGAAACAAAAACCTGAATTTCTCTGGGGAACGACCTTGGCTTGGCTGACTTTGGGGTAAAGACCAAGATCTTGCCCATCAGATCTGGATCATGCTGGAGCCTCATGGCTGAGTGTCCTTGAGCAGATTCTGGTTCTGGATGCAGGAAAGTGGCACAGCAGGCAGAGAGGGGGAAGGTCTGTGTTTAAGAGGAGTTTTTCTGAGGCTTTTTGTGGGTCAGCCTTGCTTCTTCCCTTGCCACTGCTGTCATTGCCTGTGTTTGGAAGTAGGAGGGGAGTTCTGTGCTGTTCCAATAAAGGAGTTCATTTTTGGAGGCAACTTTTAGACACCCAGGCCTTGCACAAGGAGATGATGCTTGCACACAAGTCTTAGGACTTCATTTTGAGTTTATGGGAAATTAAGGGGGAAACTATCAGCAAAGCACCTTTTGTTGATGAGCTATGCTTTAGTGTGATGCTTATCTAAAGCAGAGACTGGAGAATTGACACATCTGTGTCCTCCAGAAATGCTTTGCTGGGCTTTTACAAATAGCAGGGCCCTGGGGAAAACCAAAATGTTCCTGTTACTGAGCAGGTGGAGATAGGAGCAGGCTGGGGTGCCCAGGGGAGGACCTGGTTGGGGTGACATGAGCAGCTCCGTGTGCTGCTTTCCATGGAGTTGTAGAAGGGTCTTTTATTTGGAAAACAGTGAACTGCTTCTCCCAGAGGGCATTAATGAAGTGGAAATGCAGCGGTGGCTGGAGCCCACAGCACCCAAGTTTCGGCTTCAGGGGGCTGGTGCAGGTACAGTGGCATCGGGAACAGCACCGGGGTGAGGGACAGCTGTGCCCCATGTGGAAAAACTCCCGAGCCGCCTTGGGAAACCTGGAGCTGCACAGCGCTGCCGGGATGAACAACACGACCCGGAGCAGCGGGAGGGAGGCGGCAGCGCTGGGACCGCCCTCGCATCCCGGCCGGGCACGGGAGCGGCTCCCGGGATCCCCCGGGCAACGGCGGCTGCTGCTCGCAAACACTCGGCGGAGCGGGGCGGATGGAGGCCGAAGGGGATCGCGGGGTTGCGGGGCCGGATCCCAAGGAGTTTCCCCGGGAGTTTCCCCCCGAGGAGCCCCCGGAGGAGCCGTGCTGGGCGCGGCTGGCGCGGGGCGCGGCGCGGGCGCTGGCCGTGCCCCCGGAGCGCTGGCGGCGCTGGGCGGGCGGCGCGG